ATCCTAATTCTTATACTACACAGCAAAACTGAAAACTGACGTCTTTCTCAGCGTTGTCAGAAAAAAAGATGCGATATTCCATATTCGTCGTCCCACTGGCGCTTCAGAGAATAGCAAGAACTGTAAAGGCATATGCTAGTACGATTTAATAATACTGGAGATAGCAGAACCTATGAGAAAAATCGACAATACAGAACATGCATCAACACTAACTATCAGTTTCACCAGTATCAGCTTAACAACTTTGTATATCAAAACATTTTCTGTTAATTTGTTTGTGTTTCCAAGACAATTCATCATAGCACAGATAAACAGACTTGTCAAAGCAAAAATCAACTTAACGGGCAGCATTGGAAAGCAATCACAAAATTTTAACGGCCATATCAACCGCTTGTCTCTCTCTCTTTCTATCTTGTTTCTCAACGTGAAAAACATACTACCGATATATAACTTTCAGAACAAGCTACATTCTGACTCGCTAGAAATTCTCCAGCATTCTGATGACATACTACTTCAGACACGTACATTTTTCTCGGCATGATTAATCCCTCACATCTCAATTAAACCATTCGACTCTTTTTTTCTTTTTCAGCCTGCTAAGGACAGAAGAGTACATACTCGAATTTTATAGATATATTGACAAATAAAAATTCTCCCAAATTGGGGGGAGGTCTTGGAGTTCTTGGCTTACCAAAAACGCTCATTAGGGTGCGCTAAAATTTCCTTCATCTCTCTTTTAGTCTTGCTTTCTGATGTAGTCGAATGTAGATAAAGAACGCTGCCGCTGGGGTGTATTCGCTTCCTTGGTCCTCTGTTAAGTTTTGAACCCTCACACACATTTAAATACACATACATGTATCACACACTTTTATTTCCCACACAAGCAAGCACGCTCTTATAGATAGTTCCAATGCATTTTCCTAATATCTCTATTGCATACATTTGCAATTACATTTGTTAATAGATGCACGTAAATGCCGTTGGATTTAAATTCATTGTTTTGTGTTTTATTTTACCCAGACTCACATGAGTCTTTCAATTTTGTTTACGGAACCAATTCCCCTGGAGCTTTTAAATATTTTATATAATAAGCCTATACACATCACAGCCAAAGACGTGATACATGCAAGATCAGGATCATTAATTTTTAGCCAAGCAACGAGCTACGTCTGAAATTAACAGGACTGGTGTCACAAAACATTTATTTCAATTCCTAAACAACAAACTCCATAGTTCCCCCTTCAAACTAATCCCTCTCGTGTCTAATGCACTTTTCTATTCTTCTCTGTTTCGCTTCTCCGCATTGGTGGAATGATTTTTCTTAGATGCCCCTCATCACATTCGTTACGAAACACTTGTTGGCCTCCACACTTTAAAAACGGGTACCAATGATGATACAACTGAGCTTGGGGAAAAGAAAAAAGTCACACATAGCAAGATCAGGTGAATAGAGAGGTTGTTCTGTTACGGCGATGTTCTTCTCAGCTGGTAATTGCCGGATGCTCAGGGAGTGGTAAACAGGTGCAACAAAATACAGTGCTTGCAGAAATCTCAGATTACAGTTATTCCCAAGTAAACCTCGTATTGTGTGTTTTACCCTGATCTAATCTGTTGACCATTTATTGAAATGGACGTGCATAAAGGAAATCATTCAAGTGTATATTCATTTCAACGCGTATTATATGGCAGAAAATTCCATCATATTGCATAAAAGCACAGATAATTATCAAAAAATATGACATAAATGATAAACGCTGATAGTAAGCACGGACTCTTAAATCATCTGCCAGATTCAAGTCCTCACTATCAACATCAAAGGATCTACGAAAATCCCCTCTTCTATATAATAAATATGAATGTCAGTGTGTGACTGTCACACGTTCTCAACTTTACTCCTCGAGGCCGTGAACCAACATTTCATACCGTTTTGACCTCAACCTTCCATAAAGTGAACTACACACTTCATTTCGTGACCTAAATAGAGCATGAATCCAGTTATGAAACTGCAACGGACAGACTCCTTCTGTAACATGTCCCACATGCGTAGCCCTTTTCATCCGTTGGTTCAACAGTTGAGATCTGTTGTAATAGCCATACGTTTGTTGGACTGTTGGGGGTCTTTGTAATTGATGACGCTTGTTTTTCGTTCTTTTTCTTCCATTTGCTATTTTCCCTTTCGTTTTAAATTTCTTTCGTTTTTTTCTCTCTTTTTCATTTCTTTTATTCCTTTCTCTTTCTTGTATCTTCTTCTTTTCTTATTTCTTATTCTCTCTCACCCATTCCTTCCTTCTTTCTTTCTTTTCCTTTCCTTCTTTTCTAGCTATTTTTCTTTTTTCCTTCCTTATTTCCTTCTCTTTTCTCTCTTCCTTTCTTTCTTATCATTTTCTATTTCCTTCTCCGTATTTGTATTTATATTTCTTTCTTTGGATTTGTATATCTTTCACTTGTTCTCTTTCTCTATTACGTTTTCTGTACCTATCTCCCTCCCTCCCTTACTTAGCTTCTTCCTTTCTTTCTAATTTTATCACCTCAATCATTTACTTTCTCTCTTGGTTCTCTTTACTTTTTCCGTGTCATTTGGTTTCCATTATTATTTTCCAAATACGTTTTCCTTCTTTCTGTTGGATTTCCATTTTCTTCTAATAATTTCCTTTCTTTTCTGTTTCTTTCTCTTTTCCTCATTCTTGTTTTAATCTCATCTTTCTGTTTTCGTTGTTCCTTTTCTCTTCGTTCGGTTTTAATTATATTCTTGCTTTCTCGATTACCTTTTCTTCTCTCTTTACTTTCCCATCATTTTTTTCCTTTTCTCTTCACTTTTTCTTTCTTTTGAACAACGCCATTTTCTTTTCTCCATATTTTCTTTTTGTTTACCTGTTTTCTTACTCTTTCTTTTAATTTTCCATGCTCGTTTTCTTCATTCATTTTGTTACACTTTTTTCCTATTCCTTTTTTTTCTCTTTTTCTTTTACTTTTGGTTTAATTGTTTTTCTCTTTTCGTTTTATTTTCCTCATCCTTTTCTTTTCTTTTTACTTCTCTTTTTTTGTTTTTATAGTTTCGTTTCCATTCCACTGGCCATTTTGTTCTGCTGCTTCCTCTTTCTTTTCCATAACTTGAAATACTCTTGTGGTTCTAAATTGGTCTTCGAAAACCATTATGTCCTTTTTTTTTGTTAATAAAGATGTCTTAAATCCCTTTTGCACTACAAAATTCGTCTTTTCAAGATTTGAATCCTTGTCTTTATCTGTACCACACACTTTCATTCTTCGCAAATGATCTAATAATCTGAACTCTTATTTATCAATGGGGATGGACTTTATCTATTGCCTCCATGCGGAATAGCTCTATAAAGTAAGAGTAGTCTGGGAGAATAACTCTCTGTATCACAATCCACTGGAGAGAATGCAGTTAATCCCATTTTTACTGTTTGAACCACTGTCTCTGCAATTCTATTTGAACTTGGCTGGTGGTGTAGTGTTTTGGATGAGATACAGCCAATACGTTTTAACGATGCACCTAAACTTTATTCACAAACTCAGGTGCATTGTCGGAGTCCAAGGTTTTTGAAACACCATTTCTCTAAAACATTATCCTCAACACCCGTTTCACAGTAGTGGCTTTTCTATCCGCAACTTTAATAAATTCAGGCCAACCTGAATACTAGTCGACTAATATCATAAATAATCCTATACTTTTAATGTACGTGACTTGACTTTTTTTTTTACATCAAACGGCAGATTAGTTCATCTTTTTAATCCAAAAGTGATGACTTCTTGAAACTTGCTATCAATTTGTATCTGATTAACGTAAAAAAATTTCCAGTATCCCCTGGTACGAGTAAAATTACTTCGTTCAACTTCATTTCTCTACTTTCATCCTGTCCTTTTATTTCAAATACTTTCAAATGGAGGATCTATATTTTCCACTTTTTTTCACTCGCTTTTCATATGTGTATACTGCCTGGAAATGATTTCTCTTTCTACACTCTAACTACCATTTCCCAAAGGACGGGCTCTTATTTTTGCTCTTTTCATGTTACTTATTGCAATATCTGCATATAAGTAAGCTTTTAGTAACACTTTAAATCTCCATGCTACCATCGAAGGCATTACATTTTTGAAACAATTCTCATTGTTGTAAGAACTCCATACACGCTTCCAGATTCATAGTATGGGCCTGAAGCAATTCTAGAAATTTATGGTTGTATGAGAAGTTAGACATTTCTTCAATCAGTCTTAGTATAATTAGCTCGTTATCGATAGCCATTTGTTCTGAAACCATACTTTCAAATTCACGATATCTTGACGATTCTTTCAATCGCTGTACATATTGCATAATATTTTCGTTTTGTCTCTGTTTTCGAAAAATTTAGTTCTTTCTGTTATGAAATATCTTTTCTTTTTTTTTTCTTCGTTCGTATATTTGCTTTTATGATGGTATCAATTTTTTCATACGCAAAATCTTCCAACACTATGGGGTAGACCATAACGGAGTTTTTTCTTCTTTTTTTTTATGGCTCCACACCTGGCTGAGGCCAAAAACAAACTCGTAACTTCATTTCCTCCTCCACTAACTTTGATGCCTTTTTAATTCTTGCCGACGCTACACCTTAACCAGGTTTCAAAATATTCAGGATCCTCTATCCTAGCTAAGTAACCAATTGCCGACGCCATGTGTTTAAGATAGGTATTCACTCTGCTAGATGTAGTATCGTCAAGAGAAGATAACTCATTATTCATTTTAAAAATACTAGTCTAAAATGGAGAAATTGAGTGAGGCTGATAAACATTATTCACAAGCCATCCATAGATTGAAATTTACTGATTCATCACAAGAAATCATCCCTCAGCATCCACTCCTTTATATACCACAATACTCCATGATCCCAGGGAACATACAAAAAAGTCTCATGGCATAAAAAAATTCTTATATACAAATGTCCATATATATATATATATATATATATATATATATATATATATATATATATATATATAGTGATGTATGAAATGAGGGGGGCAGGATGAACCCTAAAACAAAATAACTATAACAAAACACACAAACTAAAAATAACAAATGTTAGTAGGTCTCGTCCACCCCTCAAAAATAAAAATGGCCGCTGTATTCTCGTCTTCAGACAAAATCAAGAAGCTCACTCAGTAACGGTGAGGGAAGAATAGAATAAATACCGGTATAGGAAAATTAAAGACTGTCCCAGTTCAGATTCATAAGTAGGTGAAAAAAATTGGGGAGGTTGGTGATCTCGACTTAGATTATAACAAAAGAGGAAGCCTGGAACAGGCCGAGAAAGGCACTTGCTCACATTAAATAGGTAGACCAAGAGTGTCTGTATTAACCAGGAGAGGAATGCACAAGAAACCGTGACCAACGGGACTTTAAAAAATAAATCAAGTTTATCCTCGTTCACACGACTCAGGCTTACTACTTTCACCCACCTTTCGCTTACTATCAGTTCTGATGTTCATCTTGAAATAATCAAGACCAAAAAGAGCGCAACTTGACTGTTGATAAGCTGAGCAGCCCGCAGAGTGGATTCTTCATTGATGTCCTTCCATTAAATCCCGATACAAGTGTCTCTTAGACCTTGATATATCACTAGACCAAGGAATGGTCTTCAAGGCCGCTCGACAAATTACGGGGCTTACGGCGTACTTCAGCCTTAAAAATATGAGGATCGATATTAAGGCTAGGGAAGGCGTCCCTAACACTTCCCTCGGAAATCGAGTCCTCTATCAACACGCGGCGTATGAAAGCCAACATCGAGACGTGTCGGGGATTCACAAAGTGTGGCATTCCCAGCCCCTATGACACGGACATTGGACAAAGACATCTCTGTTAACATAATGCTTGCAACAAACCTAGAAGAGGGAGGAGAGCAAACGGTTGATCGCCTTCTTCTGCTCCTTCCAGAGAGGAAGTACAACCAAATGACCTCGGAAGAGCGACCTCTTTCCAGGCACCTAAGCGCGAGCCGGAAGACTCATTGCGGTTAATCTTAGACCCCGCGAGTTTTTGTACTGTTCAAGCGCCTTCTGTACCACATCAATGCCGCCGCGGTGCGACACAAAGATGGATAAAACATCGCCGTATGCCGAAACCATCGCTCAAGCTCAAACCAGCGACGGCTATTCTACGTAAGACCGAGCAGCTCGCCCCATTCCTCAGCGGGCGACGAAGAGTCTCCAACGCCAAATCGTAAAGTAGGGAAGACTGTGGGAAACCTTGACGAACAGACTGCGAGATCGCAAAAGCGTACGACCGTTTTTCTTTCACCTGTACCACAACGGTGAGGTATCGATGGTCGACACTATCAAATGCGTTGGACTGATTCAAATTCAGAAGCGCGGTTTGATGTTCGCCGTTTACATCCTCTAGGATGATTCGGATCAGATGCAGATTGCTCTGAATTGTTTGGTCCTTCACAGCATGTCTGCTCAGGTGCAAACAGAATCTTGGCAACTGAATTCAAACGCTCCGTCAGGATGTTAGGCAGAAGTTTTAACTCTTTGTTTAGCAGAGTTATGAGCCTGTAACAATTTGATTCCACGCCAACATCCTTGCACTTTTTCAATAGCGTGATCATACCTCTAAAGATTCGGTTTGAAATTGATCCCTGCCATAACCAGTTGTTGAACACGACAGTTAAATTCAATCAAGTCCCGCAGACTTGCCACTGTAGACCCTCTTCAATAACCTCTGTGATCTCACCCTCACAGCTAGCAGCTTCAATCGGAAAAGCCAAATAACCACAAAACTCTTCGTCACAGCGACCAGGATCCTTGATAAAGAGGCTCTTGAAATGCCGCCGAAATGCCTCGCATATGTCATCGGTCGACCTCAGAGTACGCACCTCCGACGCATCGACCTCCCGAATGTAACGATCGGAACCTCGACCAATCTCTTACTTGCGCAATTCTGCGCCTATGTTCACGGTTTCGTTAGATATATTGTTTAACATATGCCTAACTACCTGACCCTTGTTGCGCTCGCTAATCTCGACGAATCCACCAGGAACGGCTCTGACAGAAAAACGGGACACGCTCCATCAGGTACTTGGGCGCATAAATGAACGATTTCAAACGAACTACTGTTTATGGCAGTACTGGCCACGATCAACTGATCCCTCGCATCTACGGTATGTTTAACCAGCAAATGAAACACCTTTAGTAAGCCGGCCCCTGTATGCTGAACAGACAATAGAGTCGCTAGCATTGACGTTATAAAGTGTGTTTCCTCGATCGCAGCGACTTCTACCCGGAAGGACAAGAAATAACGAAGCAGGCGGGCAGCCTTACTTCGACCCCTTATATCCTTTGAATTCAAGCTGACTATCTAGAGAAACATTTTTCAAGTTGTATCCCCTATTCACAGCTTGCGCAGAAATCTGTAGGGCAAGGACTCCGACAGATTGTCCTAGGCTCTATGTGCCCATCTCTGATTACAACCCTCCATCTAGAATAATACTGCCGACGTCCGTAGCTTGAGAACCCTATATAAGGAGGGATGGAGAATTATCGAGAACCTTCCTACATAGAATTTTTTTTAATTCTAGGGTACCCTGCTTGGCCGTTCGAATTCCGGGGATGGCGTCTTTTGGCTCGTAAAGATGATTCCATCCTTTTAAATCATTCCTCGTATCTCTATGTTATTACAACTGAGGCCTTCGAGAAATTACGGGGGTCTTCCACCGACAGTGGTTATTTAAATTAGGGACCCAAGAGGGCTTATTTCTAAATGAAAAGGTTCCTTTCCAGTTCCCGCATGTCTATATGACAGGCCACATCCCTTCTAGAAAATGTGCCTTCTCCTTT